ATAGAGCATCAGTCATGTTCATCACACGGTATTCGTGTCTTATGCTCCATTGTTCTGATTGTTCAATAATTCACCAATACCTATCATGTGGTAATTAGGTCCCCTTGGTATTGTCTCTCTCCGTTGTGTTGTTGCCTGCCACGTTCGGATTGTAACGGCCCAATCATGCCTCAATCGGTATGCATCCGGAAATTCCGGAAACAAACCTATTATCATCATTACGATGTTTTAACTCAGCCACGTAACCGATTACTCATTTTTCCTTCAAGAATCCCCATGGAGTGAAAGCGGTTTTGGAAACCGAGAACTGGATTGACTACCCATTACGCTTGTACTTGGTGTAATTCACGTTGGAAATTCTGTAACTTTTAATTCCCATTTGGAGAGTATTGTGATTGCGTGCTTATCCTCGTAAACTTGTAATCGGATGCCAATCGGTGACCTGGAAAGTCTGCCCGCGTAAACAAAAGTTATCTGCAACATATCACTGAAATATGCAGCCGGAACAGACCAACTCCCCGCGAAATTCTAAAACCCCACATTCTCTGGAAAATTATTTAGGGTTTGCTTCCAGTGACCAGTTTTCAAAGAAAGCCGCAGTCACTCATGGGCTTCATTTGCAGTTGATACCCGAGCACCATACTACTATATCTTCAACAAGACTCGCGAAACGCCATGCCTCGTAAATGTCAAATTTCTCATGGAAATGCTACAATGACCAACACTTTGCCTCGTGTATTCATTCCGCGGTGTTGAATGGTCCTCAGGCTAGCTGGGTTCTACTGAGGTTTCTGGTCCAGTCTGCCAACCGTTAATGATACATTTCACACACATTGTCCGGTGGACCGTTCTTGTCATATATGAACCCCATAAGAATTTAGGCGCACCTCAATTTTCGGTGAAAAGTTTGGATTCTTTTTGAGGTACTTAACATTTGCGAAGTGTAGAGTGCTGCTACCAGAGTAGGAGGGATCGAACCCTAATCTCCTACTTGCAGATTGCCTAGCTGAGTTAGTCACTGTACCATACCCGATGGTCTAGCCATAAATGATCCTTCCATCCGGATTGTTATATCTAGAGTGACTTTTGTGAACCTGCATTACCTGTGGTGCAACGGCTAATTTTTGTCGAATCCACAATTCTCCGGTGTATTACATGTTGTCATGTGAGCCACAAATCTGGCCGTCGCGAGCTGGAGATGCTGAAAGATATTCCAATGATTGACCATGGGTGACTGGAGCAATATTACTCTGGTGGGAACACCAGATCAGTATTTTTGCAACCTGTCGGATTGTTTTCGGAATAAATAACCCACCAATGAAAGACCAACTAAACAAACTCCATACGTTGCACTGGCTCTGTCACGTACTCCGTATGCCAGTTCACGGACTTCCTCGAGCAGCTGTTTTCGGGGAACCACGCGGAGGCCCGAAACAAGGCAGTTGGGGTCAAGTAGTGATTTGGCAGCGAGGTGCGAAAGCAGTACCAGCAAACTCAGACGCGCTGATTGTCACCGACTCTTTGGATGGGCATACTGAGACGGTACAAATCTGTGTCTATAGTTATTGGCAGTTATGTCTCAGCCAAGCGCTTAATAACGCAAATACATCAAGCCGCTATCTCCACTGCCTGCCTCACCCTCCGAATCTTTTGACTGAAAATCCCACTGTTGCTCCTTGATTAATGCGTTAACCGGGGTGACTACTGCCTTCAATGCGTAGCTATCCATCCATATCCCCTTAGACCATCGGCAAACGAAGCTGGAGGCTGCAACCACCGTGAAACCTGTTGACAGTTTTCCAACTAACAACGAATCTTTTGAGGGAACTCGCATCTCCGGATGCGGTTCAGGCCACAGAAATCCAGGTGTTTGAGGACAAAGTTTAGGTAGACGAGATTTTATACCAATGGCAGCGGCCAGCATACCCTGACGCACGACTTTCGAGTTGTGCCAGTCACACGGTTAACGACCACAAGTGATGTGTCCAGGAGGCCAGTTTTTAGTACTGCACTGTACTGTTGAATGGAATCCAGAAAGTGTCCCTTGGCCCACGAAGTGTGTAGAGCCGGTCAGACAAAATATCTTGCTCAAGGATATTAAACAAATAAGCATATCTTTTCGGATAATTCGAAAATCGGACTTTATATGATCAGTGACGTGAAACACCTGGCTCGCGGCACCAATGCTCTCGCTAGCTGATTTAATTAGCAATCACTCTCAGACCTCCGGTACGGTCCCTTCCATGAAAGTTAGTTGAATACCATGGCTGTCTTGACTTGGCATATAAACACATCTTCACTAAAGCATCTGGTAGATAATTTACGCGTAGGCGTTTTCGATGTCACGGATCGTGAAAAAAGTGGCTAGTCAATCTGTGTCTTCTGTATTTTAAAGAGTTAGCTGAAGAGAAAACTTCAGAGACACGACAGTACCACCCATTGAAAAGAATCTTCCCGAGTTAATCCAAAAAAAATTAAATCCTAGATACGACTGCTTCTCTACAGGTCTACAGCTAATCAGTGACCAGCATGTTGCAATGCAGAAGGTACTACCAAAGTTGTCAAACAAACCCACCCATGGAAGAGATTAGTAGACGGATGGCGAAAAATTGATCTTTCAGCTGTAATATTCTTTTGGTGCATAAATTGCATGCACCTTGATAGCACGAGGGTTGAGATACCGTCAAGTTGCCTATTCTTGGACAGGATTGGACATGAACTGAGAATAGAATGACTTGACATTTTTGGGCTTTCAGCGTGAGCTATTTTTCTGAAAGCATCAAAATAGATGTTCCTGTCAAGATTACCATATCATAATCGGATGATCGGGACAAATTTTCTCCTCCAGATCAAACGGCAAGAATTGATGCAACACTTGGTGCTCGGTCCTGATGGAGCAGTGCATTCAAATCGTGCGGGCGAAGATTTTCCATGGTCTAACATGAGTACTGAACAGATGTGGAAGCACCTGAATTTCGTCTGCAGAAGGGAACCAGCTCACATCAGGCGAAGACCCTGTCAGGAAGATAGTTTGATGTAAGCCGGCGTTTCTTCATCAGAGGGAGATTGCATTTCTAACAAATGAAAGATTTCGTTCTCCAAACGGGCACCACTGTCATTTTCATCGGGGAACACTTGGCCGTTGCAACTGGAGATTTCGCAACCAAGAAGACTTTGGCAACTATTACTTTGGAGTTGGGATGAAATGTTTATTTGGAACACAGGTATAGGACAACCATACCTCAAACGCAAACTTTCCGATAAGATATGATGTTCAGCGCCATCATCACCGTAGATGTTACAACGGACTGCGATGTCATTTCTGGCTGATGTAAATTATGGTCTCTAGTCAAGGTTAGGCGAAATAATGTTCGCTGATAGCAACAGTGGTACTGGGCGTTGGTGTTCCATCGATTAATCACTAAAGAGAACTACGTAATGAAAGGAACGAGTCTGACACTAGCTAGCCACGAATAGTGAAAGACCCACACCGAACACTAAATTGGACGACCACGACAGAAGGCAACAGGAATGAGCGCCACCGACGCCAGTTATCAGCCACGCTATATCATATGATATACTACCACTTCAGTCAGAGTACCCAGTGTTTTGAAAACTTAGAAGGGTACTTTACAGTTGGACTGTACTAAATGGTAAACAGGAACCTCTGGTTTTGCACTGTCATAATCAGCGGGACACTGGCCAACTGCTCAGAGGCCTATCAGACCTGAATGCACTAAAGATCAAGTCACGAGTTGAAGATGTACCATTACAATTTCCGAAACCGAATTTGGGTATTAGGCTCGGTAGCGAAGTTGAAGCCAGTCGTGCAGATCGCCGTCAAGTGTCACGATTTCCGACAAGGATGAAAAAGCCGTACAGTGCTTCTGGGACCTTCAGCAGAGACTAGCTCCACTTAAAGGACGAAGACTCCATTGAAAACTCTACTCGGACACAGCGAACCGTTCGGCTGTTCAGCTTTTCCACAAACGGATTGTGCACCGAAGTGAATTGCTGTCAGACTTAACTCGATCAGATGTTTTAGTACAGAATTCAACTTTGATTTGGATAGGCTGGATGCAATCGCCCTATAGTTTGCGGCACAGGCTTCACACAACCGTATTAATAATGCTTGAACGATGCGGGGATACAACGGTTAGAATTACCAAGTTTTACTATTAGATTAAATTCAGCATACAACATGAAGTTAACAACAGGTAGGAGGATGTATATAAGGATACAGTGATGAAATAATGCCGTGCGAACCACAAATGAAGTTGGCAGCAAATTCATAAACATTCAACAGAAGAGAGACAGCGCAAGCGAATTTTTAGAGCATCTTCTAGAAGATGGTCTCGTAAACTCCACACAGCTTCCGTCACACTGGCATGATGTGCATGATTTTGGGGATTGGCCAAGAAGTTGCCTGCCAGTTGATTCATGGCATTCGAAGATAAGTTGGGCGCTGTATCAGCGGACACGGATAGTTGATTACGCCAATCACTCAAGCCACCTTGCGCATTCTTCCTCAGACGGTTTATGTAACTGACAAAAGAAATGTTGTTACGGCATCTTCGGCGAATCAAGGAAAATTCAAAATATAGGAAGCCCTTTGCACCACCCAAAAAGGTTACACAAGACATACGATAACACTGAGCTCTTGTATGCGAAACCAGAAAAAAACTAAGAAATTGCACGATCGGTTTGTTTCCAGCTGGTGAACTGACCTAGAGCAAATACTTCCTCTTGTGGGCACCTGTAGTTGCGCTTTATCAAAAGTCAGTCATGATTTTCTTCAATTGTTGAACTAAAAACTATGTGCACCACTTCAGCAGAGTGTGACGTTGAGGTTACCTCACGACCACAACTTAGGTTTGTGATCATGAAGGACGCCGGTACTATGTCCAAGCAGCGTTGTTCAGCTGTAGCACCCTTCCGGTGCCTAGCTGCCATGCCACCCGAAGGAAGCACGAGGGCCGGGATACTGCCAGGTTGCCCAAGCGTAGACAGGGGAAGTCGAGAGGCGGAGGTCGGATTCGAACTACGGACATTCCGGTCAGTAAATTCGCGTTCTAACCACTTGGGCCATCTTGCCCCAAGCAGCGTTGTAATCGAACCGTGATTGAATCCGGAACATTAGAAGAGACCTGGGAGCTACACTTGAGCTGAGCTTGAGTGGGGATTCGGTTTCTCCAAGAGCTGGCGTTTTTCCCGAAGAGCCAATTTCGATGGATTATTACAGAGAGAGACATTTGGTACGCGATTTCCGCCGAAACTACGTAGACAGATCGGATTGAACAAAAAGTACTGATGGTGTCATCTTGTTTACAGTCAAGCTCACCAAACAAACAAGCAGCCTGGACTACCAAAATTTCGTTGAAGTGAGGTCCCTTATGATCGGTTAACGCACGGTAGCTACTGAATGAAGAGGGGCTCGCAACCTTCAGTATCTCCACTGTTTATCAAGGTCAGTTACGTATGTCAGGAAATACATGTTTCTGTATTGGTATTGCACAGTACATGAATCAATTAAGAATAGCACATATCAAAACTTTGCCTCGTCGAAGTATTCAATGCGTAAGATATGCCGAAACGATAACCACGTTTGCAGCAAAGCCACAATTAACTCCGTCTGGGGTGGTGAACTTACCGTTGATAAATCTCAGAATGCAATACACGGGAAGTTCGCGGGGGCGTTGAGACGAAAATCGGTGAGGGCGGGCGTAAATGCTGTTGTTGCGATGGCGGATGACCGGTACCAACGTGTCCGACACCAGGTACATTTGAAGGCAATGAAGCCATGGCTTGGTTCACGTGTCCTGGGGTTGGAGTGACTGCCAAAGAGCCTGTCATGGTGTTTGTTACCACCTGCTGGTGAGAACCGCCGGCTGTTAAAGCAAAAAATAACCTGAATGAAGTCACCAGGTGAATAGGGGTAATTGTTAGAAATCACGTCCCAATGTCTGCCTTGTGTTCGGCTTTGCAGACTCACATGCTACTGGGTGATTAGTAGATCACAAGTTGGTTTGCCACAGGTCAGAAAGGCACGGTCGACCAAGGCTCCTTCTACCGAGGAATTTTTGTCTTACTGTTAGGATGAGCCAAAAATATAATAGTTGTCGAATCAAGGAAGGACTGCAGTCATAAGTAAGACAAGGAGCAAGTGCATATGAGAAACAATTGGCCAGGATAACCAAGAGGCGGTGCCACATGAACCATACCTTGCTGAACCATGTGAAATTGCTGTTGTTGTTGTCCCATGAACTCAGTGGCACCGGATGGCAGTGGATGTAAAGCTCGAGGGCCGCACGACACCGGGTTCACAACGGAGACGTTCGAGGGAGCTTGTAGTGATTGTGCTGTAACAGAGCCCACAGATGAGGAATGGGCCCCTGTGTTTGAAGTGGCCAAGAGTATTTGGGTACCATGTGGAGTTGTCGGAACACCTGGAAAAGAGGTGTTCGGAAGATGGCTCGCTATGGAACTGACGACAGCTGTGACGGCACCGGGAGTGACTGGACCAACTGTGGATGCCACTAGTATGCGCTGCTGCTGGTGTGGGTGAGGCACAGAAGGGTGATAGTACGCCGCCTGTGGCCCAGCAGAACTGAGTGAAACTGCAGGGACCATCGTGCCCGGTTGACCAGGTAGCTGGTAGACCACCTAGATTGGATGGGTAGTTGTGCCGATTAGCTAGTACGTGGAAACAATGTGACCTGACAGTAAAAAATAGAGCCTGAATACATTTTTGCACCGTGCAGATTTGCGATAAACCAGTTAGAGACAGAACAACGATGCAACCGAAAAGCAGAAGGCAAAATAGTACCCGGAATAACAGAAACGCTGGAAAGGTCCATTAAAAAAAAGGAAGATTTCTGGCGAAAAAGTGAGAAAGTTAACGATGTGGCCTACATGATGAGTTCCGGCTGGTACTTGACAGGCAGAAGACAGCGCTGAAACAGGGCCAAAACCAGGCTGACTGTAGGTAGGAGTGGCAGTAGCAGCCGGGATGTGAGGATTTTGAATTGCAGGCGGAACAGCTGCATTTGTTGTAGCCGATTGGGTGTGAACAATTTGAATTACCTGTCCTGATGGGGTTTGGTAGAACTGCATAGTAGCACCTGGAGTAGCAGATGCAGACACACCTGGGACCGAGATGTGACCTGGTGTTGGTAGACCGGGGCCAGGAGTCCCTGGAACAACTTGGGATGGTATCGAAACAGGGGAGCCAATGAGAGGAGGCATTGTTCGGGGCTGGCCGACAGGAACATTTTGTTTCGAATCCTGCGGCATAACAGCTTTTGCAGCAGCCAATTGCTGTTGTAATTGCAACTGAGCACGTTCTTGTTCCTGAGCCTGGGCACGTTCCTGTTCCTCCTCCATTCGTCGTTTAATCAGTTTGGCCTTGCGCTCGTATAAATCTCGCTGTGCAGTGGACATTTGCCTCCACTAGAACAACACGACAACGAATGAACATAGAGAGCCAAACAAAAAACAGAGTGAAATATGAACATTGTAGCTGGGAAAATCCTGAGCAATAAAATAAAGCACTCGCAGCTAAACCGAAAGTAGACGGTGTTGTTCACTCTAGTGCATCAGAAACGCAGCAGAGAAAGAAGAGTTTTATGGAGAAAACTGACGCACATTCCCAATATAGGTACCCATTCTCAATAGAGAGGTGAATATTTTTGGATAAGTTTGGTGTTACGTACAGAGCCACATGAAGGTTAGCAAACATACGAGCGCATGAGTAACATGGCACAATCATATGGACAACAAAGCCGCGAACTTAAGCCGGTCGAAGGGTGGGCGACACTAGCACACCTGAATGAGCGTTATGGAAATGCCCCCGGACCAGCTTCTGCGGTCCCCTAAATCAAGTAAAATGAATGAGCTCATAAATGACACAACAACCAAACAACTTGTATGAATTAACTTACACACCCTTACCCAGAAGTTAGGAATTTGCAAAACTATGAAAGTCTCCCATGAGAACTGGGAATTCCACTTAAAGATGGTGATTCTATCCCTGAGCTCAGCGACCGCACGGAATCATTACCGATGTGAGCGATTTGGAGAGGAAAAAATGCAGCGTCTCGAAAGTCGATGACAATTATGCATCACAAGCAACTAAAAATTCCATCACTGGTGATCACGAGAACAAGCAGCAGGACTTGATTCGTAGGAGATTAAAGTCTGATAAGCTCCCGACAGGGCTGATATTGTTCCGGTTCTTACAGTGAAATAAATTTCTTTGTCAGGGTAAGCGTGAGGATACAGTACCAGTGAAAAATGATAGGAGAACGCAGGCTGAAACCCTGGTGGAGTCAGTACACCGTAACAACCTGAGTGATGTGATATCGAAATAGTGACGGGCTGTGAAACTAGTTTCAATTAGAACTGTTATCCTCTCCTCATGAACGAAACTGAAATAATAGGAATTCCATTGGGTGTGTATGCGACTAAGTCCTCCGGTGTAATTATATCCTAGGGTTCCAAGTAACAGATAGCATGCTGAGTTACCAGATCCAAAGTTTAACGTCTATGGATAGTCAAGCCTTCTCGTGATTCACTGAGAAATATGCTACAACCTAGGCACAGGAATTCATCGGTGTCATCAGTTTGTTCATTGGCAAGCACGAGGTCTGAGTTTAATTATGCTAATATTTATTCAATGGTCACCGCACTTTCAAATTTTCACGTCAGACTCCACTGGAACTTCCTCCCCGAGGCCAAAAATCATACGATTCTGAAGTGAAAAGTGCGAGCTTTGAGCCTGAACACCAATCGACAGACACTTGACTTAATGGGTCCTAACCAAGACGAGACACACAGCCGCTTCTGTTTTTCATGCCTTTCAGTTGTGAAGCAGGGAAGGAGGGTGAAGTACGAAAGCAGATGGAACATCAATGTGACAGATAGTTTGATAGCTGTTACCGATCCTGAACAAATAATGTGTAGCTTAACAATTAAAATTAGCCAGTCGCGTTTCTGACGGAGAGAGAAAGAATGATCCTTTTTATCATTTCCACGAAGTCGAAATCGATAAAGGTTTCCGTAAACATCTACCGTATGAACTTCGTCAACTGAATTCGCTGCACAAGGGTCGCCTCATGTTCCAGTTGCGACGATATTCGAGATATCGCAGTATATTTTCATAAAGGAAACTACTCACAAGGTTGCTGAAAACTTTTCGACAGCCCACGACCGGTTTCGCCCTTCTTGGGGCTCATCAGGTAGGTGGTACAAGGGTCTCAAGTTTTAAGTAGGTGAGTGTGGCATGCATCTTCAACCAACTCCAATGAGACGAATAAAGGAGACATGTTTTAGATTATAGGTCAGCTGAATCCAAGAGATCAGAAGTAAAAAAACGGACCAGCATTAGCTGCTTCCAATTTCCCAATGCAAACGGGTCATCAAATAGATCTACAAGCCTCATTCTGAGTGTTTTACAAAACCGCTGTCCTTCCGTGAGATTCTGATAATCAGCGTTCAGCAACGAGCACTGTGTGCATGAAAAGTAGTTTTCCAGCAGTTTAGTTGCCGCGATCCTGATTGACTGATTCCAACTGTCTGCCAGCCGAACACTAAACCTCGCTCCATATGTAATCTGCCCTGACAACTAAGAACAAAATAAACGTCAACTCCAGCTATGTATTTCGCTTTATACGACCAATAGAAGGGACCAAGTGTCCTGACCAACGAACCCGGGGGAGACTTTACCGCTGTTTTTGGCTACAGTACAGCAATTAATCGTACTGTGGGTTTCTCAAACTTCTTGACTGACAAGCGAGGTATTGAAAAGTGTTCAAGTATTTGAAGGAAAGCAGCGAGAGAAAAAGCCGGCCTAGCGAAAAAATATTTCCCGAAACTGTGGAAAAAGACAGCCCGAAAGCAGTGACCCTATACTGCAAACAAACTTACCATTTGTCCCACTTCACGCGAGATCTCTCCAAATGGTGCGTCACGACGTTCTTGCAACAAACGCTTGCGAACTTCACCAGCATAAAGCACATACCCAGAAGGGGGCTTTCGCAGCTTTCGCTTAAAAGAAAAGGGGATAAAGCACCATCAATCATTGTACTGAAGAGTACTGAAATGTGAAACAAAGCAGTGTGCGACTGAAGCACTAACTGGGCTAACTAATCAAGATAGCTGTTTTCCGGAACTAGGAAGTGATTTCTTCGGCTAGTACGCATTCTGGGGATAATGCTATTGATGATAATGATATTGATTCCTTTCGGAGGAAATCTGCAAATCTCTCACGGAGCCGTGAGCAGGTCATAAAGCTCGCTCATTGAACCATTTCAGTTGCTTAGGCGGAACATTCGATACTATATTCGAGCAGCAGTGAATTGTGGGTCGTTTGAGGCGCCGAGCGCCGAGTCCTAGTAGTAAGCGTTGTGGTTAAACATTACAAAGTGTATGTTAGCAACAAGTTGCTGCGAGCTATGGACGCGACAGTCCATACACGACCAATCTATTCAATTACATCGCATGCATACACCATGTATTGTTGTTCACTTTCCGAATAGTCTCAAAGGACACAAAATAGGCCAGTCAGTCTTTATGGACCCTCAGCATGAATCAGTCTAGAAGAATAAAAATAAGCATTTTCTGGAGGTCAAATTAACCGTGCAATCTCTAGTATATTTGAAGCAACAATCCATAACGCCAGAATTTGTCCACAAAAAACTGTTCTTAGCGAAAGCAATCGATCTAGCACAGATATCATGAACACAATTCCGGGCCTTTTTAAATGAAATTGATAAGTCGTTTTGCAGAAAATGACACGTCCACTTGGGTTGGAAAAATCTGACTCAGTAGACTCAAACAACATAGTTTTTGGCTATCCTGCTTGTGGCGCCACTCGGCAAACGTCTCAGTTAAAACGTTTGAGTATTCCACGTTTCGTATTCTCCCAGACTGCTGACAAGTTTCGAACGACCTGAAGGGTTCCAGAACATTGTGGAAGATGTGCTGGGTGTTTAGGAATAGAAGCATATTGCTTACGCTGTTCCCAAATACAGCGAGTAAAACCGATGCCCTGAATTTGCACAACATGTGTACCCAAAAGGTGCATGCATTGGTAGTATTGAGCGTTAGCCACCATTCTCAGCTGGCGACTGTCTATGCATTTTACAACGCGCCACCCATGGCAACAGCTGAGGGATCATTAGTCACAAGATAGTGGAAAGATATTGCTGTATTAATGACGGTGCATGAGCTACTACAAAACTATATTACCTTTTTACGAGACCTTTCCGAGCCTTCATAGAAACTGGTGTCCTCATCTGCTTCATTTGCTTGCACAGCAGGAGAGAGCCCCGGCTGTGCTCTATTGAAAGAAGCCGGGTCTGGGGACCCCGTTCTACTCAAACCATCTCCGAGCAATTTGGCAGCATCTGGCATTACGACTGAAGGTGGTGCGTTTGTCAAAACAGGTGTAGGGTTTCCAGAAGCGGCAGCGACGGCGCATGTCAGAGCGGTTGAAGCAGGTCGATTAAGCTGTTCCTGACTAAGAGGTTCCGTAGACGCCTTAGCCAGAAGCGGCGAAGCTTCCTATGGGGATAAAAGTGTAGATGCATAAGATGACCACATAACACGGTTGTATTAAGTCTGTCAGTTAAATAGAAATCAGACACGTGAGCTTACTTTTCGTGGGCAGATTGGTTGTGGGAAAAAGAAGAATTCGTCGTCAAAGGCATCTGGAGATAACTGGAAACGCTGTTGAACAACAAAGGGAGATGTAATGCAATAAGTTTATGATCAACCAAGTGTTAACATGCCCTGAAGAAAGATAACAATCACTTCTAGACGATAAGATGTGCTATCCAATGGACCCACTATAGCTTTGATATTGGGTGACCAAGATTGGACCTATCAGCCGACCACAACCGAGGAAGACTGTAAATTCCCCTAGGCAGTGGTAACAGAAATGACAGATACTTAGAAAACAACTAAAATGACAACCAGAAGAGACCATAATCCACGAATGCAGCGACATAAAACCGATTTGCTTTACCACGCCACCAATGAAAAGTGGAAAACTTCATGGGCAATGGCAAGCGATTCCGCTCAACACGCAGATTATATGTAGAAAAAGAACAGTGTGAAGATTTGACAATGCGTGCGATGACGGGAGGAATCCCGAGATGACATAATCAGAATAAACTGGCAGTAGAGTCATTCATGATTTTCAGATGTCAAGCCCCAGGGAATGAAATTGCAATGCAGGACAGCACCAGCTGATGCAATACGCCTTTGGAATGTAAGACGGCCGTTGGGCGATTCGACAACAAAGTACACAGTAACCTGAACTGGAAACTTTTGAAGTTACGGCTTGGCATAATTTCACCATATACGCACC